ACTTGGAGCTTATGGAGTCGATCAGCTGTCATTGAAGGAAATCGTCCTGAAGCTCACGTAAGTGATGACAGTCAATATCGCCAGCTTTCGCATGGCTGGAAGAGGACATATAGATGGAATATGCAGACAGAAACCATCCTCCATCGTGGCATGCAGAGGAGAGTTCTCTTGAGAGGCTTCTTAAAGTTCGTGTTTGCTTGCCAATGTGTCTTTTGATCAGGGTCAGGGGGTCAGGAAGCCACTCACCAAAACGAAAGGATGGTGCTCCGTGACAATCGACAGGTGTTGGCCGACTCTGACCGCGGAGGGAAGCCAATGGTGCTTTGGACGCGACAAGAGATCATGGGAACTGGGCCACCGGAACTGGCACTGGAAGAAATCGATTTCCTGTAGCAGCATGAACCTTTTGAATTGGGGACATATCAAACAAAGCTCAAGGGGTGCTCTCCCTCGAGAAGAAGCCCTTGTCACCCCGAACCAGTGCCTCGGTTCTTTCTGGTGGATAGTCTATTGAGCTTGGGCTTCCCACACCCACAGAGCCCAGGGCGCACGCGACTCATTTAGGTGCTGAGAGAGCGGGGAAGGAGCGTCATGTTGCAGTAACGCTCTACATTCTGGTGATCAATTGCAGGAGCCCACTAGGTGACCTTGAATCATGCCAAAGATGGACGTGAAGCGGACGCTTCATCTCTTCAACAGAGGGTAGATGTTCCGGTACTCGTGGTATGGCCTTTTAGCATCTTTTAGCTCTGTCTCAGCCTGTGGCTAGCAAAGGTTCCCCAAACTAAACCCTCGGCCTTTGAGATTCTTCGGCGGTATCTCAAAAGTGCTAGACACTCCAAGGTGGCAACCAAAAACACCTTCATCCAAACAACGGAGTTGTGTAGACGCCCCTAAGGCCCCTAGCATATAGGATTATAGGGCAGTTAGAAGTAACAGAAGAGACTTGGACCAGCACTCACTTGCAGGGATGCAGATAGCTGCCGGATGAAGAGTGGCCAGCCCGAATTGCGCACAAGAGATTCTAGGGGCACAATGACACGCACATGAACAATCATGAACATACCCCAGAATTGATACCATAAACATGGTTCTGATCTCCCTCTCTCTCTCTCTATATCCTTTAGATGGGGGTCCATCTAAACCACCTCTTGCTGTGCCATCTACTCTCAATCCACTATATATATATACATATGCAGCTGGTTCGCTTGGAACCAAGAAGCTAACACAAGAGTTCACGCGTTCGGCCGCCAGGGATGTTTCTGTGAGGTGATGGTTGTTTGAATTTCCGGACCGGCCATGGCTGAGGACTATTCGGCGTACTCAGTGCCTTAGAGTGTGCAGAGGAAAAAGGTGCCAGGAGTTCCTTTGAGGATCAGGAGTTTCTTTGGGCAGTCCAAGTTTGATGCATTTGGCAAAATCAAACAGGCCGCAAATCAGAACTTGGCAATACTCTACGTATTCCCTCTTTCCTGTTCTGCGTTTGGTGGCATTTGCACAGCCGTCCGATAGTTGAAGTTCCATTTGGTACACCTGTTGACCCAGCTTGAGGAGTGCCTTTTCCCCATCCGTCCAAACAACCCACTTTGGCAATGAATGATGCCCTTTTTTCGGATTGACCGTGAATAGGTAGGTGCAGGTGCAGCAGAACCCCCAACGATCCAAGCCCCCAACTGCTTCACTTCTTTTCATCGAAGCCTTTCTTGAGCACTATTGTACACTGCTGTCCATCTCTGAATGCCGAGTGGCTGCCCATCTTTGATCTTTTGCATGCCTGCAAAACTTCCTTGGGTGAAACGATCAAGAACCGCTCAAAGTGGATCAGCATTGCAACAAAATATGAACCGTCAAACCAGAGTTGTGGCCTGAAAACTGGAGAACGACTGTATGTATATATATATATATGGAAGCTATGGCAGGTCCAACCTTCTTTGCCATCCAAAGCAGATAGGCTAAAGCATCCATTGCGCATCATGTTTAGACATCCGCTATGGCCCCATTTCTGCTGGCTAAAATCTGTGCCCTACTCTACTAAGCCAACTTCTTTGGGGAGTTATGACAGATTAAGCGCTTTGTAACTATACGATGGCTTAGAACCCTTAGCCACAGAAAAAGACCTTCTTTGTTGCGGGACACAGGACGTTTTTGGTTGCATACACTCTCGAAGGTAGCAGCATTGCATTCACAGAACAGAGGACTGTTATCCTCCAACCCGCTCCTCTATGGCTTGCCATGGTTGAACAATCGAAGCAACATCGATAGATCAGTCTTCTGAGATGAAGAGAACGGCGTCTCCCTATCTCCACCCCTTCGGAGAGTCGTGCACGTTCACGCGTCGTGCTGCTCTTGTTCACCGTCCCGACCGCGCCCATCGCCCGTTCCACGCGACGCACGCCACCGCGACGAGAAGGCGTGGGATGCGACGGGGTCCTTGGAGATCAACGGCCTAGAGGCCTTGCTACCCACACTGAAGGCAGGACCAGTTGAATGGACTGGCGTCTGTTCTTTTGGGTGTGAAACAAGGGGGAAGTGGTTCGAACGGAACCATCTTTGCAGACCAAAAGCGAGTAATTACTTAGCGTTTGTATGCATTTGTGGTGGATTTTGAGAGGTTTCAGGTGATGTTTTTTGGTTCGGATTGTGGATGTTTTCCCGGGAGATCCCCCAAATGTCGACAAAGTACACTTACAGAGCTACCAAGGAGGTACGGCATAAGTGATATATGTAATATAATATATAACTGATTGTCATCCAAAGTCTCTGGGGAGCTTGATTGGCCTGTCTTCCAACTGGTTGCCCACTTGGCTTCGCTTTCCAGATGATAGGTACCCTCTGTGGTTCGGATGCAGAAGATGAAGAGTGAACCTCAAAGGGAACTCATGAGCTATACAGTATCTTCCGTGTCAACTAGAACTGTAGCAGAGCAGGAAGAAAACGAAGCCATAGACCGTACTTCTGACTCAGAAAGCTCTCAGCAGCACGTGCAGGCGACCCTTCCTTTCGCTGTGCTCCGAATAAGTCGTCGTCTCCCGACCTCTCCCGACCTCTCCCGACCCCATCGGCCAGCCGCCGATCCGAGGTGCCCCTGCTCGACGACGCGGAGCGAGAAGTCCAGGTGGAGGTGCTCAAGCAGGTGAGGCCCGCGCGGACGCGGACAGGCGATGTGTAGATGCGAACGTGCGCGTGCGCCAGTGCGTGTGGCGATTTGGGTGGGGGAGACTGAGTCTGGGCGATAGAGTCTGGGCAAAACATCTGGGGCTCCTGTGATTTTGGGATCATTCTCCCCGACGTCGCCCCGTTCTGGTTAGGTGATGGGGAGAATGCTCAGCCTGAATGGTGAGGGCGCCTTTCGGATTGGTTGCAAAACCCAACAGGTGATGATTCTTCCAGGCGAAGTGGCGAAGCAGCCTTTAGCAGCTTTTTGAAGAGGAAGATGGAGGTGAAAGGAACACCTTGAACGAACATCCTTCACGACATCATACGTACCGTAGTTGTAAAATGCTAATGATTGTAAACTGTAAACTCTTGATTATCAACTTCCGGGGTGTTATGAGTCCATGTGTTCGAATACCAGATCTCGGCCTCACAAAGCCCGTTTTCCTCCTCTCCTCAAAACCAAGGCGCAAACAGGTGGTGGACAGGATCTTTGTTAGGGTACATGCGTTAAATCACATTTTTTGCTCTAAAGAAGGCTTACCTGCTGCCGACGTACCAAATGCATCCTCCGCGACATGGCCTGATAAAGTAGATGAACTGGAAGGAGAATGAGGTTGACGAAATTGATTCAGCAACGACGCCAGTTTCTGAGGTGATTCATTTCGGGAATCATGTAGGACCTAGGACCACCCACAAGGTTGGATGCTGGTTGGAGCATTTTGGGCCTACAGGACAGGTTGTGATACAACCCTATTGGTCCACCTAGGACCACCTGGGATGCACAGGACAACGTAGCATGGCCAGGCAGAAGTGCTTCACATTCCTGCGGGAGGAGTGCGGACGGGCTTTCACAACATCCGACTGTGTTGTAACTGGATCACAATGAAAACCAAACGATTTCCACTTTGATATCTGGGAATTTTCTTTGGAAAAGCTGGGAATCATTTGTTGCGAGTGTTGCCCTGATCACAACTTGCTTTTTGGGTTCACGCGACTGGAACGAAGATAACGAAGCGCCGTCGCATCGTTCGACCTCCACGCGACGAAAAGGGCAGCCCCAATGGCAACGGGTCACCAGATCGACCAGATCGGAATCCGTCTTGAGCCTTTTTCCGATCGCGACTGTTTCGCGCGTAAAAGCAGACCGGTGAGGAAACGCATCCATTCGGATCGACTGGGAAAGGCGTGTTTTCCTGAGAGCTGATATAGGGGTCTTACTGCTCGAGTGGGTGGCTATCTGGGGTCTATGTTGAGAAAACCAGCAACAGTTCTGCTGCACAAAATGAGAGGGTGATGGTGCTCGCATGTGCTCGCCCGCTTTCCAGCCGGTCTCTAGGACATGTGGCTGAGATCGAAGGAGTCTTTGAGCTTAGAAGCCGGAAGACATGGGGTTGAAGGAAGAGTTTCGTGGACTGGAAGCCTTAAGCATGCAAATGTCGAAACACAAAAGCACACTTGTGTGTTTTGGGCCGCTTTGTGAACATGTGGGTTGGAATGTGTGTGCAAAACCTATTTGTCTGTCTGGTTGGCTGGCTGCCTGCCTGGCTGGCTGGTCTGTCTCTTTGTCTCTTTGTCTCTCTCTGTCCGTCTGTCCTTGGCACACCCTGGACCACTTGGTGCAGACTCCCCTTGTTCAGCAGCAGCGGCTAACCCGCGGCGTTGATCGGCGTAGTTCAACCCACCGTACGCAGCGAAGCCGGCTACGACAAGGGAAGGGTGGGCTGATCATCCATCTGGACCATTCTGGACCTGCCGTTCATGTTCAGTGTCTTCTGATCTCGTGCAGATCGAACAAGCTCTGTTGTTGGTGCGTGTCCGGGCGATAGCAAGCGCTTTCCTTTTTTGTTGTGGATTTTTTTCTGTGACGAACTGCGTCGTGCGGGAGCAGGAGCTTCAGGAAGTTTGGCAATGAAGGAAGGAACCCAACTCGTGGTGAGATTGGCTTTTGGGTTGATTCAAATGCCAAGGATTGTGGCGCGTTGTACATTGTCCTGAAGGCCAGCGGCCGGATGGATCACTGGTGGTTTCAACGGTGTGTGCTGTATACAAAAGCAGTTGGCCCATTGGCATCGGGTTAACAACCACTTTTAATTAGAAGGTTTGTTACAAAGGGGGGCATCAGAAGGTTGTGTTCTTTGAAACATGGGGGTCAGTGATTCCTTATTGCAATTTTTGCAACGCCTTTTGAATCTTGAGCCCCCCGAAAACTAGTTAGAACATGTTGTTTTTTTGTTGTTGGTGAAAATGCCTGGATCCAAGAGCTCTGATGTCACCGAATCTTACTTCTCGATAATGTACTCGGGAAAGTTGATATTGACACCTTCTCTGGAAGTATGAAGTAGGATTGCACAGACTTTTCTAGCGAACTTTACTTCAGGACCCTGCGCATGTTAAAATTTCCCGGAAGTATGAAGGAAGAGATGCTTGCAGATGCTTGCAGAGTGGGAACATGCGCTGATTTCGATCTACTTCTTTTGTGGAACCAAGGACCAAGATTGCTGGACAGAATTAGACATGCTTGCAACATGCAAGGATGGTAGATCTTTGGCGGGGGCAGAATAGCATATGCTTCTATGTACACACACAATATATATATATATATAATATATTGCAGTGCCACTGGTTTGTGCCCATTTTTGCAGCTGAGTATGAAAACCAAGGTTTGCTTCTTCTTCAGACATTTAATCTCGTGGTGGTTCTTTCAGGGCTTGGAGGGCTAAAAAGTACGTGTGCGATGCCATTGACTCTAGTGCCCCCCAACACTCACACACACCTCCAGACTCCACCGTGATGAAATGCATGCCAAAACCATCCAAAACCCCAATCCTGCGAGGGCGCAGTCGGGAAGTACCAAATGGACTTGCCGCCATGGCCGCCTGTGGAGGACCTTGAGACATTGTGGAAGCCCCTTTCAGCCCCTTCAGCAAAACAACACCACCGTAGACACGGGCCTTGCCACACGTCAACCGTCACGTCACGCATGCGGTGCTTTGGTCAATTCAGACTGGCCAGGTCGTCGGAGAGGTTTCATTTGGGGCCGACCTGCAACCGACAGAGGTTGAAGGACCCGACTGTTCCAGTATCCCAGAACTGGGTACCCCAGGTGATGGGTCCTATATAAGGCCACAAAAGACCTCTCTTGGTACTTGCAATCAAGATGAATTCACATGAATTTCGCATTGGCTACCCCACTACCTCCATTTGGGACAAGCCCACGACCGAGAACTGATGCCGCTTCTTCTCCTCACATAGGTTGGTGTCCGCTTGAAGAGGGAAATTCACTGCTGGCACCAGCAAAAGCAGACGAACATCCATTGATTGGCGGGGGTCTCACTTCTCTGACGCACACGCGCAGTTGACATCAAGCGGACTTTTCTACATCAGACATAGTGCTGCAGCTTGGAGGAGTCCAGGCGCCAGGTGATGAACGAGCCACAGGAGAGTGCACAAAAGGAGGAGAGGGAGGCTGTTTGGGGGGTGACGGGACATGTGATTGCTTTTCTGATAGAGAGACGGTGGTGACCGGGTCCAGGTTCTCGTTGTCACGAGAACATCTGTTCTTCGGTGGAGGTGTTGAGTTTGGGGGGATCCGACAGGTTCGGTCCTTTCATGTCCTTTGAACCCATGTTGTCATATGTTCCAGTTTGATGATTGAAGAACTTAGCAGCATGGACGAGATTTGACTGATCAGATTTAATGTGGTCTTGGATTATGTTTGAAACAGATACTACAGGTCCCTGTACAGTATATATTTTGATATTTTTTCCTTCTGATAAGGAACTCCGCTTCCTGTTCTTTGAAGGCGGTTTGGTTACTTTCACCATCGGCTGATGATTAATGAATTGCATGTTCACATTGATGAGAACAGGGCAGACTCATGTCTTCCCCCCAAATGTGATCTGCCGATGGTCATAGCAGCTTTGTCAGACGAGGACCGGTGCACATCGACTTGCTCCGTGTAGCCTGATGCGGGGGACGGGCGCCTCCTCGCCGCCCCCGGGCACCCAGGAGTTCGCCTCCTTGCGCCGGCGCTTCGCGCGAGCCAGCGAGGAGCTGGAGAAGCTCCGGAGCAGGTGGACGTTTCGGCGGAATGTGGAACGGGTTTGGGTGTTCTTGCTGGTTGTTTGATTGAACATGTCGTTGGATCAGTTCCAACGCGTTTCTTCCGGCAACGATGGGAGCTCGAAGCGACCTGCGCTTCCGCCGATGGACATGGGCGTTGCAGCGCCGCTGTGTGGGTCGCCGCCGGGGCGGGCGGCACCGACCCCACGGACCTCGACGCCGACGGAGGGCGAGGAATGAACTGGTCCCTAGGGCCTAGGGGGTCTGGACTCGGTGACATGGCTGAACATCGCGACAGGCATGAAAAATCACCTCTCGACTGCAGCATGCAGGCGAGGAAGCGGCGTGGGTCGGGCTGTTTCCAACGTGCTGGGCGTAGCCGTGTAGCGGACCGTTAATGGGCCACGAGAGAACATCCTGGCGTAGTGGAAAGCGAACCGACTCTACAACTGAGACCAGGCAACATCTTGAAAGCGGAGAATATTTCTTGGAATTGGACTCCCTCTTGATTGACATTCAATGTGTACTCTGTCGTTGGAACCAGTCACATGGAAACCAAATGGTTGAGGAACTTCCATGCACCTATTTCTGGGACCAGGCTAGTCCATCCAGCGATCCATCAACTGATGTCTAGGATTCCAGCGCTTTGGCGACCCGTCCATCTTCTTCTTAAGGCCCGAAACTCATGCCCCCCCAGTTGACAAAGCTGCTGGGAAAAGGAGAACATCAAAAACGCCATGAATCTATGAACATCCAGCGGGTGATCTCCAGTTGCGTTCGGCAAAAAGCACTTCCAAGAATTCCAGAATTCCGCTGCTATGTGATCCAACACCATATGGCCGGACCCATCTCCAGCTTGCCAGGAGAGCTTGAGGGTTCATTTCTTGACGCAGCTCATTGAGCGTCTCTCTGGAGAGCTTCAGGGTTGCGAGGCTGCGGGATCATGCGGGGAGAAATCCACGGCCTGGGAGGTCTGAAGATGGTGTATCTGAGTATCTCTCAGAGCCAGAGGAGTTAGGGTGCCAGATGGTGAAGGAGCCTCCTCTTTTCTTATCTCTATATAGTATAATATAACATAATATATAATTATAGATAGATCCTGGTCAAGAATCGTCAAGAGTTCCGGAGCCACAAAAGAGCTTCTACAGCTTCAGCTCTTAGAAGCAAATTCTGTCATTGAGAACGCAATGCGACCAAGATTTGATTGACAATCTAAAGAGCGCTTGGACAAGCGGTGGACGCACAAGACGTACTCGGTGAGCTTACCTTTGAGATCTGCTTCCTGAGGTGCAACAGGTTGTCTATGTCAAAGCTGTCACAACCCATCCAAGGTATTAAGCTTGCTGTCTGCATGAGTGTCCTATAACCCCCTATCCCCGCATTTTGTCCCTGCCATCCCACCGAACGTGCAGTGCCATCCTCCTATCCTGGAAAGAACTCTGAACGAGTCTCCATCCAGATTTCGACACATGTCTTTCCTTCTACCCAAGGAGGCTTTTTGGAACACCCCCCCCATTTTGGGGCCAGATCAGACGCGTTTGGAGGAAAGACGACCCAGTACAGTATCTACGAAAAAGCAAAGCCGCTTGATAGAGACATCGGAAGACCAACAGAAAGAACAAACTCTTTGCAAAAGAAGGAACAGGGGTCTCAAGTCACAAGTGTCTTCTGCTTCTTGAATCGGAGCATCAACCCCTTTCGGCCCTGTATTTCATCCAACCGTTATGCTTTTGGCTTTCCACATGCTTTCACATGGTGTGCAATGTGTCACTCCAACCTCCTCCAAAAGCATCCATCTGTTGGACCCAGAAGAATTTCCTTCACCACAAGCCTTCGGCTGGGTCCGGGTAATCAATCCAAGCTGGAGTGCGAACGACGGATGGAACTGAGGCACTAAGTACGGGTCACCCTGACCCTGGCAGCGAACCAAACCACAAAGGCCTAATCCCTCGGCCCGGCCTGTTGGGTAGATTGGGGGAGGTAGGAACCTCACGAGCCTCTCACGAGCCTCGAGCCTCTCATGCACGAGCCTGGTCAATCGGGGACGGCTGACCCACCGACTTCGTTTTCCAGGTGGAGGCGGAAGAGAGGAAACCAGGTGGCGGATGGGTGGGAGGTTCAGGGACCAGTGGCCAAGTATAGAAACTGCTGGGAGAAGGTCATATAAATATAAAGATATATAAAGCAGATGAGACTAATTTCTTGGACAGTGCTCTCGTTGTGAGATGTTCCCCTGGGACCCTAGTGCTGTTCTGCAAAAGGAAGACCATCCATGTGATACTCTGTCCAACTTGTTTTCAATGATTTTACTGTCCAACAGGAGGCCCCTCTTTCAAAAGTTGATCCATCTGTAGAGCATGAGCATTGTAGAGCTCTGTAAAGTTGATGTACTATAGGCTGTAAAATGCTATGCTTTAACCCAATATTCTTTTGCTTCCTCATTTCTAACCAGAAGACAACGGGTTCTTTCGGCGATTTCTTGGATCTCCGAATCATATGGCAGGTAGTAGTGGTGTGTAGCCGGCCGGTCCTCCGTGTGGAACTCATTGGGCTTGGAACTTCCACATCCCAATCTTGCCAGAGCTCTTCTGAAAAGGAACCCTTTCGTGTCAAAGGGGGGGATTCGGAGACCGTGGAGATGCACAGGATTCCCCCATGGCTTCGGCCGTCTGACAGACTTTGAAGAGGAAGAAACATGCGACTTCTGGCAGAGCAGGCAGCACTTGTCACAAGCTCCAAAAAAGAAGCCGATGTCCAAACCAACCGCATGAGACGAGACGAAACGACACAGACGAGACGAAACCGACCGGTCCGGACAGTGCCGTCTGGCAGGTCCGGACGGTGAAGCCGCCGTTCAGTGGGATGGAGCGAAGAAGACTCACCCGACCCCCACGATGGGTACGGGGACCTTCGTCCCTAAAAAGTCGGGCCTTCTCAAACTGCAAAGAGATCAAAGGACTCCAACCCTAGGCCGGCGTGATGTCTTAGACTGCCATTCTGCCTTACACAACAGACCGGGTTCGGCCATTCTTCGCGAGCCATACCGTTCAGACCCGGAGAAGCCAGCTGCAGCATGGTGGCCCGGGGTGCGTTTCGGATGGAGTGGAGACGTGCCAACCGCGCTGGCACGTCGAAGCGTGGTGGTTGGAACTGGGGCCACTGTGGTTAGTTCCAGGAGGTCCTGGGAACCGGATCTGTATATCACACTGGTCGAAGCAGATGTACGTACTTCTGATGTTTCGGGGCCTTCATCAAGAAAAGCAGCTGATCCCGTACGGGATCAGTGAACACATAACTTGTCCCACATGGGTTCAGGTGAGTGAGGCATGGTGAGGGTGGGTGAGGCTGTTTACAATCACCAGTGAAGTATCACCATTTAGAGACGATACCTTTACGAGCTAGAAGACTCCTAGAAGACTTTCTCGCCGAACTCACATCCTGCATCCATTGAATCCATAAGTCCGACCGAGGGACACCCGAATAGCACTGGCAATTTGTAGAAAGGTGGACAACCAACACCCGAACTATGAGCGGCCAGAGATGAACACTGGAAGGATCAACAAAACCCATACCGTTTTTTCGTGCCTGGTTGATTGGTCCGTATCCATCCACGATTTGGATGACTTTTGTGGACACCCATGGTCGCACGAAACTGAGAGACTGAACCCTTAAGGTCTCGGGTTGGACCGAGCGAGTCTAATGCCGAGTGGGGGACACCCACTGGCCGGCTTTGACACTGCAGGCCCCAACCTCCCCGAGTCGTGGAAGCGCGGGGGTGTTCCTCACATCAGGCGCTGGGGACCCATGAATCAGGAGCTGGGGACCCATGCAGGACGCGTCTCAACGTGACATGAAACCGAGCTACATGGGTTTCAGGTCCCTGTCTTGCATCTGGTGAGGTGACATGTGATGTGAAGAGCTATTCTTGAAAGTCTTAGCTCCCCAGCACAATATCCCGAATCTGGTGATTCCACAAAGTGCAAGATGTTGAACAGGTATGGAGTTTTGGTCAGGCTCAAAAGGGCTGAAAGACGATTCGACACGACTGTGCTTGGATCCTTCGAAAGCATTTTTTCGGTCACGGCTGAAATGATCCACAGCTTATTGTTGCCAGTTTGCAATAGAGTCGTCCACCCCTCAAAAAGCAGAGGGTCCAGATCCTGAAATCCATGGACAGAAGTGTTGCTACAGCCCCTGTAAATCCTGCCGAAATTCTGCAAGTTAGAAGAGATGGAGATAGAACAGAGCCAGGGACATGTTTCGTTTGTTCACCTCCGTATTTTCAGGGGCTAGAAAGCAGCAGACTCCACCTGCCCGAATTGGCGTGACGCCAGCAGAACCGGATCTACTTGATGATCCTATCGATGACTGGGAGGCCGGGATCGCCTTTGGGCCGGCAGGTTCGGTCCCGTCTTCGATGCTCGACACGGTTCCGTGAGTGGAGAGCCATCGTCCCATCGTCGGGACGGGACGGGTGTTTTGTTTTCACCGAACGAGGAGGTCCACAAGTGTTTTCACCGATGAGTCTGTTGCGAGTCTGCCTTTGGCCAGTCGAAAACCGAGGTGGAAAACCGAGGGAGTCAGGTGATGGGGTCGACATCAGTCGTCCTCCGTCGCCTCAAAGGTGCAAGGCTTTCAGGTTGCAAGTTCGATGTTCTGGACTCTGGACCTTGTGGAAGGTGCAGAAAGGCAGGGCTGGGACGTTAAATTCACAGTTCGATCATGTTTACTTGGAGTTTGGGAAGTGCCTTTTGGATGATTCTTTTTGAACAAACTGGCTGATGAAGGAACCCAAGTAACCCAAGGGCGGGTTCTGGAGCAAAAAGAACCGCGTCACTTCAGGCCAAGCCTATAGTATTCAAAGCTTTCAATGTAGAAGGCATGTTCACCCTGTTTGAATCCGGAAATCCTTCTAAACAACAAACAACTGGGTTCTGTGCCATCTACTCCAAGCACAGACCAACCATGCAACTTTCCCGCAGACGTCGTCCCTTGGTCCCTTGGTCCATGGTCGAAGATGTTCACCCGCGCAGAAAGGGGCCCAACCTTTGACATGGATGGCCCAAGATCGCCGTGTTTCACCCACCGTTTTCCGTGTTTCACCCACCTTAAGCCAGGACTCCTTGGATCAAGCTGTGGCCGAACACCTCGAAGGCGACTGCTTTGGTGCCTCCCGTGGTGTCCTTGAGCGCTTCGTGGTGCACGAGGCGAAGGGATGCGAAGGGGGCTGGGATTTCAGACCAGGAAGTCGTTCCTTATTCATTGGGTCTATCCCACTACCAGAAAGTGATTTGCTTGTTTATCGACTGTTACAGGTAATAGGACAGACTAATAGGACAGACCCAAATGATTCAACTCAATAACATCTAGGGACACCGACCTATGGACACCTGGTTTCACCCCAAAAATGAGTCCTTCTTCTTCACACCGAAGCGGAACTCCCGCTGCCAGCGGGGAGTCCCTGAGAACGGTGAGAGCTGTGCCCGCAGGATGCCGTTTTGCTGGTGCTCCACGCCGATCAGCTCCGCTCGGCCACCGAGAGGTGCGAGGCGCAGCGCCGTGCACAGCGAGGCGGGTCCAGGTTTTAGCAGCGAAATGCGCAGCGAACTGGGTTTTGCTATGGCACCCCGTGGCACTATCGGAAGTTGTGTTGAGGAACTACGCCAAAGATCTACTATATACTATGTCCCTAGACTGGAAAAGCCATCATATTAGGTGCGGTAAGTGGACATGCCTTGAGAAGATGTTGCTCGTTTCCCTAGGTGGACACTGGCGCCACAAAGCTTTGTCTACCTCCAGAATGGTCAAGTTATCCCAAGTCTGCTGCACTCCGATCATCTCATTCTCAACTTCCCCCTCGGCCGCGCGGTGCAGCGGAGCCGCGGCAGGGGAGATGTTGCAACGCTCCCTGGGGGACGAGGAAGTGGCCCAGCGTTTGCTGCCCCTCTTCCGTCAGGAGTGGGAGTCTGTTTGCTCCAGTTCAGAGGCTGAGTTTTTCCCCAGAGGCTGCGTGAGCTATTGGGGTTCTTACTTCAAGTATAGGAAGAGCTGCGTGTGTGCGTTCTCGAGCTTAGGTGCTGGTGCCGCTGCAGGGTGCGCCTGGGAGCTTGGGTGCTGGTGCCGTGCTGCTGCTGTGTGCCCTTGGGAGCTTGGGCAGTGGAGGCGCTGCGGGCGCCGCCACCTCGCTGCTGGTGCTGCCACAAACGTCTTTTTGCTATCGTTGGCGTAATTTTCGATTGATTTGCCTAAAGGAGCGCTACCACAAAGGCACCGTCTTGGTGAAGGCGCCTGCTGGTTTAGGATTTCAGAATTGGAAGCATAAACAGGAATTGGGTTCAACTTCTGCAAGACAGAGGATAAATACAGGTGCCCTCCGATATGGACCTCCTCGAACCACTGGTTCTTAGCGATGGCCTCCACCCTAGTAGCGAAAAGAAGCCGTTCTTCAAGGGTGCCATCCTCCATCCCAAGGTACCATGGAAGCCGGACATTTGGTCAAGAGATTCGCGCCTGATTTTGGTGGGAGGGACACGCCAAGTCACACTTCCTCCTCTGAAATCATGCTAGAGTTGAAAAGATCCTGTCACTTGGACTAAATCGGACCACGATTCCATCCATATATCATCATATATCCATGTGCATATATTTACACATGTTTTTTGGTGTAACTTGCGGGTCTTGCGAGAGTCTCCGCGATTCCACCCGTGCCCGACCTGGACATCAGGCTGGCGCAATGCCCAGTAGCTTGTGGTTGATTGTCTCCGGGCAATGTTCGCAGGCAAGAGAGATTGAGGAATGGCGAGGGGATTGAGGTGCTTGTGACACCAGCACAAGGAGGGATTGACACCTTGTGTGAGGATTTAGAACAGGATTTTTACCCGCACGACATGAACACCCGCAGTGATGGTGTGCTCGTGTATTCATGCGAAACCTATTTCAAGGCTCGCAAGAACATGGTCAGCATGTTGTGCCACATGGAATGACCATGAGCGGTGGGATGGACATTCCAGGACATTCTAGGACCAAGTGCCAGCTGTCGCAACTCGCATTGCAGGTGAATGAAGCAGCAGCTTGGCTTGCTTTGGGAAGGGCGAGAGGTTTGGATTCAAAGAAAAAGCTTGAAGAAGCCTTACAGACATCGAAGACGGTGTTTTGGGGCCTTCCTTTGTTTTTTCACATTCTGTGATGGGTGGGTGGTGAGTGATGAGTGCTCAGTGGTGTTTTGCCGAGCGGGAACGGGATTCCATGGGGCTGAGGATTCCAAGGACGTGCGGGGAAGGCAAGGCGCCTTGCTTTGGGCAGCAGCGGGCAGCGGGCATGGGCGGAGCCAGGGTGGACATGCCCCAACGAAGCCAATGACTGGACGATTTGATTTTTCCAATAATGTACATAGACTCTTGATTTAATAACCCTCCTTCTGAAGAGGTGTTCAATTCAATTTTGGGAGGTTATTTGACCTTAGTTCAGGTCAACATCTGTTGGGGGTATCCCATTACCTTTAACAGTCGGAAAACAATTGCCTCTCTCACTACTTTAGAGTCGGGCCTGCAACCACGCCTCATGATCCACTGGGCCCAGGAAATGGGATAGACCCCCCAAACATCTGCTTTCATTTGGACCGTGTTTTTTGGCGAAGAA